TCATGGCAGCGACTCCATCACTGACCACCGCTCGGGCTCCCCCGCCGCAAGAGCCCCGCCGAACCGGCGGCCGCGGCGGCTGGCTTGGCACGCGCAGGCAGCGCAGCCCGGCGGAGGAGGGAAAGGCGGGCGGGGGGCGCGCTCCGGGCTTAACTCTCCCTGCGCCGGGCCGGGCCGGGGGGGATCCTGAGTCAGGTGCAGGGCAGACGGGGGGTAGACCTCCCCCTGCAAGGGGTTCCAGCTCCGGGTTGGGGAAACTCCAGGGGGTTGAGGAGTGGAGCCTGGGCAGAGGAGGGACCCTCGCAAAGTCGAGTGCCGTAGGGGGTCCACCCTGCCTTTCCTCCAGGGGGACTGAACTCTGGAGCCTGGAGAGTAGTGGCGATCCCGGGAGATTGCCAGGCCCCACCTGGGGGTTGGCAACCCCCCATCGCCAGGCTGGCCCGCCTGGCACAGCAAGAGATCAAAGCTTGGGGTGGGAAGGTTTGAAGGGCAGGAAGCGAGCAAGCTTCCGGGAGGCGCAGGGCTCTTCCTCGACCTTTGCTGGGCCGCAGCAACGCAGGAGCCTGCGTGCCTCTGAGGCCGTCCCCTGCAGTCTCACGCCTCCATGCAACATCCACCCTTCTCTGCTTGCTCTAGTGCAAACGGGAACCCCTTTTGAGCGGGCACCCCCCCCCCCTCCATGGGGGAAAGTCCACTGATAACAGCAAGCCGAGACTTTTTTTGCATTTGCAAACCAGATGCCCGTCTTTGCTAGCTTGCACTCCTGAGATAAACATATATACACATCGCCTGAACAGCTCAAAGGGGGAGAGAGGGAAGGTATTATATAATATACAGTCTCCCAGCCTGCTGAGGTTGCTTTGACTTGTGCTTCACCATCTGGCTTCATCTACCGTGCGCTAATTTCCTAAGGCGTATCCGTTGTTGCTTTCTGCCCTATCCAGGCCTGCTTTGGGACTTAGGAGGCACCTGAATTAGGGCTGCCAGCTGCCCCCCCCCACAAAACATCTGCATTTCTAGCAGCTTCCGGACACCAGCAGCAGTGCGGGTGGGGTTTACCTCCAGCTCCCTTTGCCTTCTATGGGTTGCAATTAAAAATCCTGCTAGCTACAGAACTCAGGCTGATTTGTCCCATCCAGCACAGATCATTTAAAGTTCTGTGCCTTTCTCTGCACATTGATTTGTCACACCTCTGTCACAGTGGGCAAAAAGGAGCTGCGTGTTCCCACTGTTTGAGCAATCAAGTTTCCCACCTGCTTCCACAAATTTCCTGAAAGTAAAAATGTCCCATTTATTTAATGCATTTGTAGCCTGCCTTGCTCCCCCAAAGTGGCTTACATCATTCTCCTCGCCTTCATTTATCCTTACTCACAACAACCCTGTGGTTAGGTTGAGAGATCGTGACTGACCCAAGGTCACCCAGTGAGTTTCCATGGTATGAGTGGGGATTTGAACCTGGATTTAAACGTGGGTCTAACAGATATTAGTCTGACACTCTTAACCACGGGCCCTCACCACACTGTCTTTGCATAAGGCAAGGTTCCTCTTATGACTGCCATCTGGCCTGGGAGGCCTCCTTCTGAAAAGGAGGTGGGCAGGACTGCCAGCATTTAAACTGGCCCTTCTAGCTGACCCCTTAAATAGCAGGTGGATCCGCAACAATGATTAGGTAATGTCATTTGGCTCCCTGCCAGGAAAAGCTTCAAGGCTTCATTTCCAAACTTCTGCTGAACGGCCAGGACATATTTGTGTAGCCAGCCTTACACATGAGCAAGGCTGTAGCCTTGACCAAAAAGCCAGGCCCTTCATGAATCCAGCTTGATCCTTCTATATGTGCATACTCAGAAGTAAGTTCCACTTTGTGCAGTGAGACGGACTGTTGAGCATGCAAGGGGATTGTAGCACTACTAGCAGAAGCCTGCGCATGCTTACTCAGAAATAAATCCCTGTGAGTTCAAGCTTACTCATAAATAAGGAGAGACAGAATAGCAGCAGTACAGTATTAACTAAAGTAGGGTTTCAAGGAAAGGTTCTTAGCAAGATTGGCACCTGGCAACAGTCAAGATTAAAAAGCATGAGAAAGCTGCATTTTCCTGCAACATCTTTTTAAAAATAATCTCTCCTAATAGCTATGGATAGAGGTGCTCCTTAAGTTAGGTGACTAGTGATCTGAAATGGAAGAGAGGGACAGTATATCCCCCTAATGGCAGCTTTCCTGAAGACACAGGAAACCTTGACACAGAGAGTACTCCATCTTTCTATGTTATACCTCTGAGGATGCCAGTCACAGTTACTGGCGAAATGTCTGGTTCTACAATGCCAAGCTGACCCTTTTAAAGGCCAGGCAGCACGAGCGGTTCCTTCGTCTCCAGAACTGCAATCTGAACAATCATTCCTAGGTTCGAGTCCCGCAGGCGCTGCCTGGTCTACAATGCCAAGACCATGGCCACAGAACCCGGAAAATCTACAGCACCTAGCAGACTTCCTGAAGAGTGTTCTGATCAGGGGGGAAAAATGGCCTGCTCCCAGTGTGGTGGAGGGGTTAGTAGACTAGGACCTGGAACACCCAGGTTCGAATCCCTGCTCTACCCATGGAAGCTTGTTGGGTGACCTTGGGCCAGTCACATATGGGTGCTGGTAGGTTGTCCCACCCCCACCTCCAAAATGTGGCCCAAGATAGGAATAATCAAGTCATTAGGACGACGAATTGTGAGCCGCCCAGAGACCCCTTCGGGGGTTAGGGCGGGATATCAAGTCTAAGGTAAATAAATAAATAAATAAATAAATAGTCTCAGCCTAACCTTCCTCACCGGGCTGTTGTGAGGGTTAAACGCAGGAGGTTGACGTAAGCTGCTCTTGGTTCTAGTTGAAGAGAAGGGGGGAGGCATAAATGAAGTAAATAAAAGACAAAGACATTAATCTCAGCAGCTATTCCCAAGCTTCCTTCCTTCCCTTGCCCACCAAGCCTGTTTGAAGCCTGTAGGATCAGTTAGGAGTGTGGGTTTTTCAAACATGCACACAAAAAGGCTTGCATAATCAGGACTTTGTTCAATAACTCTCCCCCTTTCAGGGGTCTGTTTTTTTCTCACTGCTGTGTTCCTCATTCTGTACTGTGCAGGGCCCCAAACGGTTGCACAAAACAGAATGCCGACACAACGCATGATTGCAGTTAAAAAAAAAAACCCACAAATAAAAATAAATGCAGCTATCACAACTTCCTGACGCAGCTAGAGGCTTTAGAGTATTAAAAACGGAAGGGTCCTTAGAGACCCAATTTGTGAGAATGTGTGAAAGACAAAGAGAGACACAGCAGAGGAAAAACAGAAGAAGTGAAACCTCTATAGTGAAAACAACCCAGGAGTGAGCAGGTTAACCAGACGCACCTTTCCAGATGGGCCTTTCCCCAAGTGTAGTTTCTCTCACCCTGACAGGACAAGCTGCACCTGTTAGAATTCCCTTCCAGGTGCAGTTCTTAAAGAAACAGGAGTCCTTTTTCTCCTTGGCAGCTGGCAGCCATTCTACAACCAAGCCAAACTGGTTGCTTAGAAAGAACTGGGGTGCAATATTACAGGGCTATACAATGTGCACTGGAAAAAAAGCGGTTCGTAAAAACACCCAGTACCCTAAACAAAAAGACAAAGATGACTTGGCATTTGTATAGGGAAAACCAAATATGCAAACATACATAGGTGCTAACTGATACATTTTTAACACGTTTGACCAGATCTGACATAAATGAGACCTTGTTGGGCCGGGGCATGTGTCATAAAATGTAATGCCAGGTCTGACATAAATGACCAGATCTGACATAAATGAGACCTTGTTGGGCCGGGCCGTGTGTCATAAAATGTAATGCCAGGTAGTGGACATATAAACTTTATAAACGACACAAAAACAAAGGGTTTTCCGCCCCTTAAAATAAACTCATGCTTAAAACATTAGCACTCTTGCAATATTTGGTTTATTTAACAGTGTCTGATAACGGACACCTCTTGCTCTGAATTATTGCATCAACATGCCTGTGCTGTTGCAATCTTGAGTATTCAGGTGCGTATCTGTCAGCTGCAAACCTATGATGATACAGCAGCAGCAGAACTGGAAGCAGAAGCAGAAGACAGCCAGTTCCTGGGAAAGAAAGAGGGGGGGGGGGGGGGGGGGTGATCCGCCCCCCGGGCCACATGTTTGACACGCCTGCTGTAGCTATTTGAATATTTTTGTGCACACTCTTTGATTATGTTTAT